AAGTTACATTTAAAAATGTGTCGGTACATGTAATATTTATTATGTTAAGAACATATACGATGTAACGTAATTGACGGCGTTTTATTTCGAAAAATAATATTGATGTTGGTTTATCATTTTTAATATAAAAATGTATCCGACGTGTAAATGAAATTGTAAAATTTGATTGTATTTATTACACAGCACAGTTGTTTCATGGTCCGTCAACCGTGTATTCTTTCACGTGGGTGGTTCTATTGGTCTACTCGTGACTAAAGAGTTACCAGAGGGTGGATGCTCATCACAGTTCGATAAGCTTCCTGGTTGGTATCGAGATAGACAGTTGCTACAAAGTAACTACTTTCAACTGAACTGTGCGCTTTATTGCTCGATACAGTATCTAAACGCTCGGTACAAGGGAATCGATCCTGCACGTATCAAGAATATAGGAAATCAATGATGGCACGAAGGAGTTGAAATAAAAGAAGGAAAAGTGAACAAATTCGATTTCGATTTTCTTCTACTTTTACCAGTTTATATTTTAAACATACTTTTTGGCTTCTGTTTCACCAGTGAAAATTAACGTAAATTTATCAGACCAGATGTTTATTCGTTAAAAACTACGTTAACAATATAGGTTCGCAATTATGGCAATCGGCAGACGTAAATATATCAGTGTGGTAGAAAAATAAATCAAGGAAATGTGTACTGCACTCTCCTAATCGCAGCCTTATGTTTCTTGTAACACAGATAAGAGAACCATATTCCAATTGCGAGTGAACCAAAGAATAATACTGAACTCCAGAATATTCGTGTGGATTTTTAAAGAAAATTAAGGGCAGTCCATTTAAATTTTAATATAATAGGTGCCATCATTTTTCGTAAACTTTCTTCGTCTTTCACGCAATTTAAAGATGCCGTTCTTCCAAAACGTCTCAAATTTCGAGCATTTATTTATTTAATATCGTTATGATTTTAAGAATCCCAGTAGCACAAAAATATTTGAACGCTATACAAATGTTTATTATGAAAATAATGGTTTTTAAATAAGGATTAATATTTTATGGACTATCCATTTTGTCGTACATCTTGTAAGTGAGGTGGCATATCGAAAATAATTTTTTTTTTTTGTTTTAAATATTTAACAGCTGTCTGTAAAATATTTTTTTTTTTATTTTCAGACCCATGAAGAAGGAAAGTATCGTAATCGAGTAAAATTTTGAGACGTTTTTGTTTGATCTACGTACATATATGTATTTACATTATAAACATTATTGTATCTAAACGCCTGAATGGATTTGAATGGAACAATGGAATTCAATGAAACAATACAGTTCAAGGTCTGATTAGCTTTTGAACACAATTGGTAGATGGATAAATGATGATTACCTTCTGTAGTTTTGTGCTTTCTCCAGCGTACGAATTAAATATATTGTAATTGCGATTTGTACAAATTTGTAAATAATTTTTTGATCGAGTATCAGAAATTGAATTTTACATCAAATTCATTATCAAATTGAATTTACAGAAAACTGTTAAATAAACTTTTTTTTTTATCTTATTCAATAAACAACATAAATGAAGACTTATATTTTTTTTTTTTTTTTTTTTGCATGAATCCAGTATTTAGTAACTCAGATACAAAGCTTTAAACGCACTTTTATCATCTGTTTTCGTGTTAATTTTGGTCTGTCGAGTTATGCCGCAAAGAATATATACCACGTCTAGGTAAATACACCCTGTATTCGTAGAAAATGTTCAGCGTGCACTTGCGATAGACAAGCGATTGCTATTATCGGTGAATCCTCGTGACCAAGGACGTAACATTGCTACGAATATGTTTTGACGCGATTTAGGTACTTATAAGTAACGAATATCTACGTATCGTTTACGTAAAATGTGTTCGGTTTAACACAGAATCTTGTCCATTTGAAACGTGTATATTTTTCTTAATAAGACATTGACAAAAATAGTCTCGGTCGACCAGGGGTAGATGCACATGTAAAACACGAGGGGTGTACAGCTGTGATACAGTTACAATTTTTGATCAACGAAGGAGCTTTGGTTTCCGCCACTGCAGATGATACTTTACATCTATGGAACTTCCGGCAAAAAATACCACAGGTTGTGCAGAGTCTCAAGTTTCAAAGAGAAAGGTTGGTTTCCGAAGTTACTATACTTTCTCAAACGTTTAGTCTGAGAAGCGATCGTAATATCTATGTTCACTCTTAATCATCATAAACGTTACCACAGAAGCTTAAAATCAAATTTCAACGACAAATATATTTTTACTTTATATTATTTCAATTATTATCACTTAACATTTTACCAACTGGTAGCCTGCTAATCGTCTTTTTGCAAGCAATACTTTTGTACCTAATAGATTAGTACCTATAAGATTTGTACCTAAAATATCTGCGTTGCTTTTAATGATAGAAACGCAACCGGTCGGTAAAGTGTTAATTCTTAGAAATAAACAAAACTCCTATCGACGTTTGACGCGTTTCATCGTTCAAAAGAATCTTAGTTAGAGAAGTGTACTGCATAGGGTTTCAATGATTACAATGAAAATAATGAAACAATGTTACTCTATGTTAAACAGAATAACGTGCATCCACCTGCCGCTACAAAGTAAATGGCTATACGTTGGTACAGAACGAGGAAACATTCATGTACTGCATATCGAGACGTTTGTCTTGTCTGGATATGTAATTAATTGGAATAAGGCTATCGAAGTGTAAGTACGCAAATAGTTATATTGATCGACTAAGTTATAGGTATGACGCATAACGATGAACAGAGTCATATGTACATATGAGGAACGGAATCGCGTAAACGACACATAGTTTTAACACTTTGCTAACCGCACGGTTTTCGAAAACTACACGTAATAACGTAACGTAACACTTCTATAGCCCTCGCGATATGGGTATTAATAACATAGCATTCTTTAATAATACTTATATCTCTGCTATTCGAAGACTATTCGAAGACAATTTCTTTTTTTTTTTTTTTTTGAAATTTTGCATTACTATCGTTTCCTGAACGTTATCGAAATATTTTCTAATATTTTATTAATTATGGTTAGACTAAGCAAGTCTACTTCGCGTGTAATTTTATCGATGTTATCGGAAATGATTTCTTTTTTTTCTAATGAAATTATGTAGGAATAAATGTTTCCCTTACATTCAAGAGAAGAATCCGATGAATCGTACACGATGGAGGTTCGAAAAAGGCTAAGAGTTCGCGTAACGCTAGCAATTTAGGTGATCTCGAATATGTACATCCTCTAAAAGTTACCAATTGTCTAGTACCTGTCGATATTGTCTTTGATTTTAGATTGCATGCAGTTAGTACAAACACGCTTATTGTCTATATTTAAGCGCACAAGCGGCGCGGACGTGGCGCAAAGAGGGAGATCCTTCTGATCGGTTGGCAATGTGTTAAAATGGATTTACGTCTTTTCAAGAAAGTACAGACTGTTTTCATCCTTATTTGTATGCTATTCCTAACTTTCACGATTACTTTTGCCGTTTAAGAAAGTAATATAAAAATATCGTTACCTGTTAATCTATTATCAGAACATAATATTCGTAAAGCAGGAAGTCGTTAAACCGAGAGCCGAGATAACCGTGATAAGTTCAATAAACATTCTCCTTATTTTCTCTGCAAGATAATTGAGAATAAAAATTGAAAAATGGAAAAACTTATTATTCTAAACCTAGGTTTTAATTAGTGTGTTTATTAGAATACAGTAATGATTAAATAAATATTTTCTATGATTAAAGTGAATAAAATGCCCCTGTTCTATAAATTCATAGCTTAAGCTTGAGTTTTCTTCAGTTTTCTTCAGTTTTTTCAATATTGTGGATTTTTCTTCAGTTTTATTATAGTTAATCATTTTGTTGGCTTTGCTGGTTCTCTCGCGAGAATTGTGTTCAAATTAGTTCTTATTGTCAAATCGTCATGTACGTAAAAAAAAAAAGATACGAATTTTTCCTCTGGCACAATTAATGGCCCATCAGGTGGTTATCCAATTTTGGAAGAACGTGATATTCAATTATTTTAATTATATTGTACTGTTCAAACAAATGTTAAAGGATGGAAGATAATATTAATAGCACTGTGCACTCGCTATAAAAATATAACCATAGACCATAGAAACATTTTCTGAATGCGAAATGACGATTCAGGCAATTGATGGGAAAGAAACTTTTATAATTGTTTGCATTTCGAAACGATAGGGCGAAATGAAAAAAATTGCTGAACAAAATAAGCGAATTTATTACAACCAGGAGTTATTAAAGAAGAGTTTCACTGAGACCACGTACACATTGCAAATTCTTTTTCGCGGGCGATATTTTTTAGATAAGGTTGGGGATTGTGTGGGATTCTGGGAAGCTGGCAGCACCATAGATACTTGCACTTTAATTTATTTAAAAAATAATTTAATAGTTCTAATTGATAGATGTTGGTTTAATTGATTAAGAACTCTACTGAGAATTAAGTCGGAACTCTTAATTATTTATGAGCATCCTCAAAATGAGTCGCCAGCTTAACATGGTCGTACTTGCCCACTAATATCTTTACGGTGTCCATCCACGTGCGCAATGGGGTAGTCCCTAGAAACATCAACGTTACATGGTTTAGTGCCCACCTCACTTCTAGGAGAAGGGGAGTGGTGCAATAACCCTTTACTCCACGTCTCGTGGTTCTCCCTCTTCGCGATAATGACACGGGAACACTATAAAAAGTAGCGTAGCACGCAAAGGTAGTTGAAGTAGTGAAAAATCGTACACGAAAGAATTTACCAAAAATCAGTAGGTACTTAATTTTTATAAATTTAATTAGCATATATTATACTGTGTGAATTAATTTTGGGGGATTTTTTTTACTGAAAAGACGCATTTACTGTCTTTTTTTTTTTTTTTTTTTTTTTTTTTTTTTTTTTTTTTTTTTTTTT